TTTTATTTTATTAATATGTGGTGCATAAGATAATAATATTCTACTAATATTGTAAATGCGAAAGTTTGTGAGAATGTATGGATGTCGGGATGTCTGGACGTATAGACGTATGGATGTTTGTTACTCTTTCACGCAAAAACTACTGAATGGATTTTAATGAAACTTTACAATAATATAGCTCATACTTCAGAATAACACATAGACTACTTTTATTCCGGAAAAATGTACGGTTCCCGTGGGATACATTTGTACAATAAAATAATAATATCGCAAAATTTTTGCTAGGCAATAATAATAATAGGACAATAGTTTAGAACTTTGGAAACACTAAATTTAGCTGGCTTAGAAAAGGTCAACAAAACTTTGAACGTGTTTCTAACTTTACTTGAATTTGGTCTCCTTAAATTTTATAGTGAACAATCATTTCAAAAGTTTCATATAAGATGTCGTTAAGTGTGCTTAGTTAGTTATTTATTGTGTGCAATTGTAAGTTGGGTATTATGGCAGATAATATAATCTACATCTATAAAAATTGATGTGTTTAACTCCAAAACGGCTGGAGCGATTTTGATGAAATTTTCAGGCAATCTTCAGATAAGCCCAACGGATGATCCTGTGAAGTTTAGTAGCGATCGAATTGACAGAAAGTTTTATAGTCGTTTGAACGCGCGTACGTCCAGAAATATATGTACATACATACAAGTCAAAACACAAGTCTCCTTTGGGCTTCGCTGCAGTCGGGTAAAAATTATATATGTACTAAATTGAAATGATTTATTTAAACTGACTTACCTACATATTTTGTTAGTACAAGGTTGAGAGCGTCCTAGAAAAAATAACCTGTGACAGGAGGCCTCGCTCTTCCACAATAAATATTAAAGTAGAATATTATGATCTAAGGTACAATAGTTATTTCAAAACAAAAAAAAAACTTATAATTAAAGTTATATAATATGTGAGTGCGTGTGCGTGTATATATGTGTGTAGATATAGGTACAATTGCACTTCTACACTACTGTTATAAAGAGGAAAGATTCGTATGTTTATAACGAATGAACTCAAGAACTACTAGACCGATTTAGATGGAAAAGAGAAGATAGTTTGAAACCCTGGGAAGGACATAGCTAGGATATTTTTTATTCCGGAAATCATCCTTAAAGGGGGTGAAAATTGGTATGAAAGTTTGTATGGGGAATCAACCCGAGCAAAGCGAGGGTGAGTCGCTAGTATTATGTATGTAGAATTAAATGTATATAAAATAACAAAAGAGCATATTACAAGTCTAAAAGATGTACAATAACAAGTTGGTACATAGTTTATCTAACTCTTAAAACCCTTCCACCCATAAAGGAACTGAGGGAAATCCTTAACAGCTTTCATGCGTTGGATTTGATGTTTAATTAGTAGGTGAAGTTGTAAACCTTTTACTGCAGAAATTTTAAAGGATATTGTAAATTTGTAATAAGCTGGCGTGATAAATAGTTATTTTTTAAATTGAAAAGTTAGGCATGAAACCTTAGGCTAGATAAATGGAAAAAAAAGACTTTAATAATCATTGAAGTACTTTAGGTATATTGACTATTCTATATAAACAAAAATATTTTGACTTGCAGTTTTTTTGGGATTCAAAAATCGCGTAAGATATACATAAAAAATAAATACTACATATATGTATTTATTGCATAGAGAAAATTTTCTTGTGGATGTCGGTCAAAATAAAAAGAGCTAATAGATAATATACTTCTTTACTGAGGGATTTTAAATAATTTAGACTAAAAAATCTATTAACTGCCATGTTCAAAGTTTAAAGAACTCTTAAATTAATACCGTTTTTTATCAGTTTTCAAGCAAATCTCATAAAGGCTGTTGACCGTATGTTAGTGATTATTCTCTTAAAGTTAAAGCTTGAGATTTGAGTTCTACGCTTCCATAAAATCTCCCATAAAAGTTTACTAATTGTCGTTCATATTTTATTAAAAACTATATTTTATGAAAAAGCGGTATGTTTTAACTATTAGTATAGATTTCTCAGAAACGAGATATTTTCCCGCAGTAAAAAGTATCCTATATGTTGACCCGGTTAACAAGCTATTATCGTACCAAATTTCATCAAAATCTGCCCAGGCTTCTATTTATTTCGGTTCGATTCGGCTTTATTAATGACTATTTCAATAAGATTTTCCAAAAAATTATTAATGTACAGGCTTGAAAGAATTAGAATTTTATTATATGTATAGATATATTTTTAAATATAAGATCGGACAAAATAACAGGCATAACTAGTAGAAAAATAACATCGTTTACGCACTAATAATATTTCCCTAAGTGTTCCATTTCTAAGCCAGATTGGGACGGAAAAAAGATATATGTACTTCCGAAAGACTTTTTCCTGTTCGAAAAATAATTGACAGCATTTGAAAAATGGTCATTGTATTCGCATTTATTTGTGCACATAAAGATACCATTTACGAATTTGTATTCATCTAGTTATTGCATACGGCTTCACTTACGTACTTCTGTATAATATACGTCGATAAAGCGTTGCCAAAGTAACTTTTTTTACGTTGCTTATATAGTGTTTTTTAAATCGGTTCACAATAAAACTTACGGTCACGGGAGAGAACCTATGTCTCAAAAATCAAAATATATATCGCGAAAACATCCAAAATCATAGTTGTATTTACTACGAAATGAATAAAGATGTAAATTTAAATGCTCATAATTATAAAAATAAAACAATTTAAATACATTGAAGGCCATACAATTCAAATAGAAGATTAGAAGGCAATAGCGTCAAGCATTTAAACAAATACGGGCTAGATTTATAACAGTGTTTACACTTGATGTACATTAACCCGCCTGAAATTACCCTTTTTACAAAGGCCGAGCATTTATTTATATTACTGTTAAAACGTCAACAATTTTATGTTTATTTATATGTTTTTTTGGTTTTCCCTATTCACGTAATCATTGCAGGAAAAAATATTTTATGAAATCTTCTTTGAATATATGCAGGATAGTAATAATAGCAAAAAAAAAAATTTGTTGATAATTGCTATATAATGCCGCTTCCTTTCGCCAGTAGCTTAAGATCAGAGTAAGTATTCCCTTTTCGAACTGGTTGTAATTTTTTGTATATTTACTATAATTACTAAACATTGTCGATTTTAAATTCTGAGACAGTGTAATATGGCGGTTTCAAAACATTTTATGAAACAAATATGTTTTTTCTTTATTTGGTGTGAGTAGGAATCGAACTTTGCTAGCTTAAAGTATCCAATTACATTTGACATATTCTATCCAATAAAGGCAGAATATGTCAAATGTTTTAATAAAATAATTTCTTGTTGAAATTCTAATTAAAAAAGTATGTAATATTGGATAAATCTAATTATTACATCGTTGGGGGTAAAACTTTTTCGGAATTTGCATTTGATGATACCATTAAAATAGCTGGGTAATGTGCGAAAATTTTGTGTATTATGTGTAACCCGAATTGAGTACCTCTACTTTTGAAGTTGGTTAAAAGATACTAGAGATTTATGTACATACATAGTGTAAGGCAATTTTCTAACAAAATTTTTGTCATGAGCGTTTCAATGGAAAAATGATATATTTGACTAATTTATAACGATGTATGTATAAAGGATTTCTTTATGAGACCTTGGCCGATAGGAATGTATTTAAAATAAAATAAAAAAGACTGGGACATTCTTTTGTTTTTTCCGTGCTTTGGCGCAGAGATGTCGGTACCATCCAATAGTGTCTAGTCATGAATTGCTTGTAATACTGTAAATTATTATTATAAATTATTATGTAACTCATTATTTAAAAGAGCAGCTGTTGATTTTCTCGCCGGTTCTTCTCAGCAGAACTGCTTTCCGAGCCGATGGTAGCTTCCACACGGACAGACGTACTGACCGATTATAAAAGAATTAAGTTGATGTTGCAAAAGTACTGAATATAAGAATATATGCAAGGAATATCTCGAAGATTTATTAATGTCATCCTACAATAGTAACTAATAAAAGATGATCGTAAAATCGATAACGGGTATATATATATATATACTTCTTACCATATTTGACACTACAGTATATATTATGTACAAATTACAATGTGTAAATATAAATTTCTCTTTTTAAATAATACCATTTTTTCGGATTTTTGCGCGGATTTATTTTGATTTTTATTTCCTGACGTTTCGAATGCTTACAACAATCATAGTCACGCGAGTGACTAAGAATTTAGACATCTCAAAGGTCATTATATATGTAGTTGTTACATACAGCACCTACTCAAAAATTATAAAACTTTTTAACAAAAAATAAAAACCGACTTCTAGGCACTAAAATGTAAAAAATAACTAAACGGAGGTTTTCATTTAGAATAGATACTCGCACCTAATCAGATATTTTCGAAGTCGGTGCCAGCCGATGCAAAGCAAATCTAATATATTTCGATACGTAAAACACATATTTACCTATTAGATATTCATATCTTAAAATATTGTAGGCTGGCACCGACTTCGAAAATATCTGATAAGGTATCAATTCTAAATGAAAACCTCCGTTTAGTTATCTTTTACATTTTAGTGTCTGGAAGTCGGTTTTTATTTTTTGTTAAAAAGTTTTTATTTTTCCATTTTTAGTGTAGACATAATAAGCAGGTAATTTGTAAGAAGAAAGTTTTTTAATAACATATTCGATTAAACAATTTATTTAAAAAATATATTTATTGTTGATTTTTTTAAAAACCGCTCGGCCGATTTCGATAAAATTTATATAGGAGAAGTATACCCTTTGAAATAAAAAAAATCCAAATCGGTTCAGGCATCTTCGTGTAATCGGTGAACATACATAAAAAATAAAGATTCCGACTAATTGAGAACCTCCTCCTTTTTGGAATTGAAAGTCGGTTAAAAATAATTGTCAAACATACAAAAATACGACCAAAATGTCTTATAATATTTTTTAATTTTAATTTTTCCTTCTTTCCAGGTCTAGCGGTACCCTTCGTAGAGCTAACAGTTGCACACGCTTCAGTCCTCACGATATTAGCGATAAGCTTCGAACGATACTACGCCATCTGTGAACCATTAAGAGCAGGCTACGTGTGTACCAAAACACGAGCTACCCTCATATGTGCACTAGCGTGGTTCTTCGCAGCGCTCTTTACTAGGTCAGTACTTAAATTGACATTTTTTGTTATTTTAAAATGGTATTTTCTGAAAAAATATAACATGTTTTTATATAACAGAATGTACTTATTTGTTATATTTATGAGTTTGTTTTTAGGTAAACCAGTTTTGATTGGATTTTCGCTGAAAATAGGATAATAGTTTATTTATAAGTCGGTATTGTAAGTCATTTAATCAAAAAAAAAAATAATAAAAAAATAGGTATAAGTTCATAGACATGATAATTATCTAGCTTTATTATATTTACAATTCATACTGTCATCATATTATATTAAATATATTTACCAGTTATTTTTTCTATATAAAAATAACATTTTTATACATAAAACAATATTTTTTAAACAGAAAGTTTTAATTATAATATGTATTAATTAAGCATAGGAAAAGTCCTCTCAACTATTTCTGGTAGTTTCCTCGAGGAATGATAAGAATGCATGTTGCATTCTCTCTAAATTATAATTTTGTTTAACTTTACCGTTAAAATTAACCGAATTCTTTGTTTAATTCAAAAGTCTGTTTTCCATCAATGCCTTGACCTCTTAAAATGGGGGTCGTGAGTTCTATTCTCGTACTGAAATATTTATTTATACTAATTTAATATAATATTGATAATATTATTATGGAATATTTATTATATATTATAATTATAAAAAAAATTAAGACAATGTCTTTAATTTAAGCCTTGACTTAAAAACTTTGTATGACAGTTCTTATACATTATTTGCTCCATATACCTATATAGAAATACGAACAATTCGTAAAACAATTTATATCAACTTATTATACACATATGTTTAAGTATTATAAAAACAACAATATATTGATCTCTCAAAATATATTGATCTCTTGAATAAATCATTTACATTATTCTTAATTAAATTTATTTTAAACTGGCAAAACTCATGACTTTTTCCATGTTGTAATAAATATATAGGAGTAAAGACAATGTAATATAAAATCAAATTGGCTGATTAAGATATATTTTTTCAACTAGCAACTTACTCTCGCTCAGCAAGAGTTCGTTCCTACTTGCGTTTTAAAGTTTATATGTATAGATTTCTCAGAGATGAGATATTTTCCCGCTGTAAAAAGTATCCTACATGTTGACCCGGATAATCAGCTATCATCATACCAAATATCATCAAAATGTCTCTGTAGCGATTCTTCTTCTTCTCCCTGCCCATTTCCCAAATCACTTGGGGTCGGCGCAGTACATCTTCAGTGTACTGCTGATAGGATTTGGCAAAAGTTTTACGACCGGCCGCCTGCCTGACGTCAACCCTCTCTGTAGCGATAATAATGTTTATTTCAATAAGATTTTCCAAAAAATATTTAATGTACAGATTCGACTCAGTTAGAATTTTAATATAGGTACCTATATAGGTATTAGTGATTTCCTCCGCTCGGGTGCGTTCCTACAACTTAAATGGCTTAGGAACGCATAAAAGACGTACGACGTGGACGTTTCCAAAGAAAAATTTTTTTTTCATGTCACGAACACCGAACAACTCACCAAAGTTTCATCACAATCGGATGAATGGTTTAGGAATACTGGGACAAACATACAAAGAAACATTCATTTTTATTTATATAAAAAAATGTTATATTTATTCTCTTGGAAAATATTTTTATTTTTCAGAATAAAAAAAATGCTTATTGAACAACTATGATACGAATTAGCAGTTTTAGAGATTACTTAGTAAAGACAAACAAACCTACACATTCATAACCTAACACTAACTTTATTAGGTAAAACATGTATACATACTCGTATATAATAGAGCCTATACGCCAGGATAAACTAACATGTAAAAATGGTACACATTTCTTTCGTAATACTTGGCTAATGTATTCGACGTCTTGAGAGCTATTAAGGCAATATTTTTGTAGAACGAAATATTGAAAGCGTAACGACGTAAGCAATTTTCACAAATGTATTATTGTGATTAACTTATTGTTATAAGGCTAAGTTTAAAATATACAATAACAAATAAAATTGAAGTGTATGTTTGTAATTTCAAAATAAAAGCTTTTTACTAAATACTCATGAAAGTATTTGCGGTAATTATAAGAAAAAAAAAAAACAAATTTTTAAATTTTTCATCTGCCGTTTGTCTATCTGTCTGTTTGTTTGTGCCGGCTAATCTATGAAACAGCTGAGCAAATTTTGGCGGGACTTAGCAGGCTTACTGGCAGGTAGCTGATGTTATAAAGATGAACTTAGGCTACTGTTATTTTAGAAGAAGAGAAATTTATTTAAGAGAAGAGAGAGAGAATTGTTTTTATTTTAGAAGAAGAGAAATTTATTTAAGAGAAGAGAAGTATTAGGTTTCCGCGTAGTAAATTAAAACCCATTAAACCTGTGTACATAAAATCCGTGTGTTTTTTTATGCCTTTGGAGAGAGGGATTAATAAATATCAAGTCCTCCACATATAATGTGCACAAGTGTAATATAACGTTACATACTAACATACCTAACATCACTTCTCTTTTATGGAATCTGGTAAAACAAACAAACATATAAAAACTCTTTGAGCGTTCCGCCACAAGTACTTCCTGTTAATTCAATTAATTTAAAAATAATGCGAGTGTTAAGCATGAATGGGTTTCGAACCAAAAATACAACAATGGATTCCGATAGTTTTACGCTAGTGGAGACTTTTACATAGACGAAAGTAAGGGCTCTCGCATACTGCAGGCTTTCTATCGGATGATAGCTTAGTTCATAATCTGCTGTATGAAAATGCGCACATTCGTCATGGACATTGGACAGATAAAAACATTTAATGGATTACGTCATTGCCTGCAGCAGGTTATTTTGTCTGTAAGTGAACTAATGACCGATTGCATTCAAGTGTTCATCTAAATTTACTTTTGTAGTTAGTTAAAATTTGCATTATTTTTTTGAGAAATTTAATTCTCTTGATGTTTTTATTGATTTCTTTTCAAATCTATACATATGATAAAAATAAAACTGAGTCTAACCTGAACATTCAATATTTTTTGGAAAATCTTATTGATATAGTGATTATCATCGATACAGAGGTTGAATCTATAGCTTTTTGAATTTTTATCTGTCTGTTTGTCTACTACGTTTCACGAGAAAACCACAGGACACATTTTGATGAATAGCTGGTTATCCGGGTTAACATGTAGAATACATTTTAACGCGGAAAAACATTTCATATCCGAGAAATCTATACTAACCGTTAAAATGTACAATGAGACGAATCCGAGTGGAGTCGCTAGTTTAGATATTAAAACAATAAAACCATTATATTAAAACAATAACAACGATTCCAGGTAACATTTTGATACTTTCATATAGTTACCTTTTCTGTAAAAGAATATAGCAACTAGGTAATTACCTAAGTTTATTGTAGACCAAAAGCGCACTAGCAGCTTAACCCGACTAAACTATCGGTCAATAGAAAGTGTGCAGTATGCGGCTGCTGTTACACAACTTCCATTGCATCTAATGAAGTATGTAAGTCTCTGGATTCATCAAGAATCCGGACGAAGTTTCCAAGTGGGACACAAATTGTCCAATTCGGTTTGTTGGTTTGTTAGTTCACATACAGTTCAAGTTTTAATTGTCAACCGACTTCAAAAAGGAGGAGGTTCTCAATTCGACTGTATGTTTTTTTTTTTTTTTTTATGTTTGTTACCTCAGAACTCCGTCATTTCTAAACCGATTTGGACAATTTTTATGTCGTTTGAAAGGGTATACTTCCAGATTGGTCCCATTTAAATTTCAAAAAAGAAATACCACCCCTAAGGGTGGAAAAACTACTAATGATGAATTTAACCTACTTCTAATTGTCATATTGACTTGAAACTTTGCAAGTATTTCTATTTCCGTTGATAGTACAGTGGTTCGGTGTTGTTGACCTGATCTGATGGCAAGGCCAGAAGGTGGATAGGTGGAACTCTTCAACGGCTAATAGTAGATACTTTGAGTTTGGGCTTATTTTGTTTGATTTGACAAGCCTAACACGTTAGAATCCTTACTTTTCTACTACTGTCTACACTAAAAAGGGAAAAATAAAAACTTTTTAACAAAAAAATAAAAACCGACTTCAAACAAATGCACTAAAAAGTAAAAAATAACTGATTGGTAGTTTTCATTTACTATACATACCTAATCAAATATTTTCGAAGTCGGTGTGCTTTGGCTAAGTAATTAGAGCCTACCTATTAAATACATACCTAATCAAATATTTTCGAAATCGGTGCCAGCCCATACAAAACAAAGCACACCGACTTCGAAAATATTTGATTAGGTATGTATTTAATAGGTAGGCTTTAATTACTTAGCCAAAGCACACCGACTTCGAAAATATTTGATTAGGTATGTATAGTAAATGAAAACTACCAATCAGTTATTTTTTACTTTTAAGTGCTTTTTTTGAAGTCGGTTTTTATTTTTTTGTTAAAAAGTTTTTATTTAACAAAAGTTTTGGCATCGAACATTTTAAGTTTAAAAATCTTTAAGCTTTTTCCAAATCTATAAATACTGTGGAGGATAAAAGCACACATGTAGTTAAGTATATAGTATTTTTTGATATGGTAATAAAAATATACGAGACTAGCATTGTCCGCGGCTCCGCCCGCGTTCAGATGACCAAAAACCAAATTCTTAGGTTTTACATATTAGTATACTCTTACATTGCAGTTTTTGTATTTTTTCTCAGAAATACGATATTTTCCCGGGGTGAAAAGTATCCTATATGTTGACCCGAATAACCAGCTATCATCAGACCGAATATCATCAAAATCCCTCCAGTGGCTTTTCCGTGATGCGGTAACAGACAGACAGATAGACAAAAATTCTAAAAACTATAGATTCGGCTTCTATATCGATAATAATGTTTATTTCAATAAGATGTTCCAAAAAATATTTAATCTACAGATTCGGCTTAGTTACAATTTTATTATATGTATAGATAAAACAATGTTTTCAGGTACTGCGTTAATTTT